TTATTTTATATGAGTAAAACTTCAAACTTCGAATATATATATGTACAGAATTATAATATAACTATAAACATTAATTCTTCCTCTCTATTCTAAAATCGTAATAACTTATCTGCATTGCGTCATTCAAATTAATCATGCGATCTTACTTAACCCATAATGCAGATCCCTCTCGACCAATCACCAAATTGCAAACCGAAACTTTTCTCTTCGCGTGCTTCCATCTTTGATAACTACGCACTTCAGCTTTTTGCTCGCTACTGTGCTGTGATTTTGCTGGCTTGCTTTCTATCCCAACAATATCAAAAATGTAAATCTTCTGTGGAAAGGCACGACTAGAGTGCCAAGTGATTGTGGCCACAAATATCAATTGGAAATAAAAATGGAATTAAAATCGCTTCTACTGCCAAGTTTTATTTACGAAGTCAACACATTAGCTTACGACGCAATCAGATTACTTCCTCTTCAATATGGGATAACTACGCATCTACAGTGTTCTGTCTTTTCCTTTCCCTTGTGTTTTTATTATGACATATATATATATATATATATATATATTTAAAAAAAACAGATACAACAAACTTAGTGGGTACAGTCGACTAAAATTATGTGTGTGTAGCGAAGTTTTATCCACAATTTCTGCAATTTTTGACCGAAATTACTAACCCTAAATTTATCTGTGTTTAAGCTATTAATGCTTTTGTGTTACTGTTCATTTATCTTCATCTCTAACCTTCTCTGTATTCAAAACAAAAGCTACAGAGGTAGGAGCAGCAGCCAGCTCTTGAAAAACCAGGAAACAAAATACACATACCTTAGGATTTCTACTGTGTAATGCACTGAGCAAAGAATTTGAATTGGTTCTTTGATTCCATTTACATTCTTTTATTCAGTTGTTAAATAATATGCTATGTTCAAGGTTGATGCTATGATGGAAATTTCACTATTCAGGAAAGTAGTGAATTAGATTCTTAAGAGTGATACAGATGATTTGTCTTTTAAGAAACAGAATTTTTTAAAATCTTTATTGGTTTGTTTGCACCATCTAAAATTATTAATCTATAGTTAATTAGAAAAACAATTAAAAAGAAATTTAGTTAATTGCATTAATATAAATGGTAATTAACAAACGTGATTTTTTAAAATTAGATTTATTATTAACTTTTGGGAAATATGATAATGCTAATTAATCTTTTTGCATGATTCAGAAGTAAATTTTTAATTTTTTTTTTTTTTTTTTTTTTTTTTTTTTTTTAAATCAGACCGAATATAGTAAACCAAATTTTTGGTCCTTTAAAGTTTATTAAAGCAGGGTTCAACCGTATTCGTACACAGGATATGAACATATGGTGAACGCATGCCAATCATAATAGAAAATTAGTTCTGATGTTGTATCTGTTCTGATGTATCTTTGTTGAATTTTAGTTTAAGTCTGAAAGTGGTCAGATGTCGTGCATTATGTCTGAAAGATATTTAAATGAACTGCTAAAAGGGTGAGCGGCTAATATACCCCAGACCTGTCAAATGCAATTAGACATTTTCATGACATTAAATAGCCTTCAAAACATGATTGCAAAATATGAAACCTCTTTTCAAACATACCAAATGCCTGTCATCTCAGTGGTCTAGGTTACCTCAAGCAAACTGCAGTACCTGAATGCTAAGGAAAAGATTGTCACTGCAAGCATAAAGCAGCTGTTATACAATCAAGATTGTTGGCTTGAATTCTCGTGGTAGTCACTGGTTCTTGAATAAACAGAGCACTGCTTACTGGAAACTTCAAAAATGAATTTTAGTATGAGAAGGCACTTATATCTACTAGAAAAGAATGTTTGTCAGTGGGCACGATTACTATACATTTCTCACTGACAATACCCATGCTCAATTTAAACAATAATTCTGAACATATTTTTGTATCGAGAAACCTTTTGACTGAGCTTCACACATATGAAAGAATTTCTGAACTGAATAGAAATATATGAACAAACGCTTTTTTCCTATGTAAGGTTGTTTAAGCCAGTTGTCTAATTCAGATATGGCCAAACTATGGGTCTTTAGCCTATTAATGTAGTCTGAGCTAACCAAATGGTAGTTTATTCATAAAATCTACACACATAAAAGTAAAAACTTGTGTACATGCCAAATGAAATTTTTAATATCATTCAACAAATACACATCAAACACTGCATGAAAACTTTTTGACACTCTAGGACAAGGGTTCTCAAGCAGGGGGAATTTCAATGTTTCTAGGGAAGGAATGAGGTCAGCCTTTTATTTACCTGTTAAGCATCTAGTTTTAGTTTAAGAATGTAAAAGATTACTTTTATTCAAGTTTGGATATTCAGCAATATTTTTCTACACTTTTTCTTGCTTAAATTATAAAACACATTAAAAAAGAAACTGAATTTAAACAAATGTGTATGTATTTTTCCTGTTTTGGAAAGGAGGGATGATTATATAGCAATGGTGAAAGGGATGCATGGGAAAAAAAAATAAAGGTTGAGAACATTAAAAATATTGTACTTTAAAGAAAAATATTGTGAAGATCTCTCTCATCAATCAACCCTAAAACTTACAGATGCCTAAAAAATTGAAAAAGCAACACTGTTAAAAACATCCATTCATTTTTAACAATGACCAACATAATTTGTATGCTCTTTACCTCTTCATTATGGATAGTACAATGGGTTTCTTTAATTCCACAATCCTCAAAATGATTTGAGATTCAAAAGCTGAAATCTGTATGTGTGTGTGTGAGGGGGGGTCCTCCTCTAACTTGATTTTTTTTTTTTTTTTTTTTTTTTTTTTTTTTTAAATCTTTCCCCAAAAAACTCTTAAGCGTTTTAAGCCCAAGACTGAAATGATTAGTTTTACTAAAATTTCACTATAAATATTCATTAAAAAATAGAGCGACTGCTGCAATTTGAGTGGTATCTGGGCCATTATTATCAAATTCTTAGCAGCTCTGCCACACTGTTAACGTGTTTTTGTGAACTCTAAAAAACAGCACATTTACTTTCTTTAATGTTGGGGGAAATCATATAATTATCTCCATTTAGTGATTACCTACATTATCTCTAAGCAATCCTTCCCCGAGACTTAATTTAAAAATAAATTGGAAGGTTATAAAAAGTTTAAATTGCTACTCAAATACAATTTTTCAAATTATGTTGAGAAAACAAATTTTGAGATTCAAGAATTTTAATTATATGTATTTCATTTACTAAATTATTTTTTATCCATTTAATCAATATAGAAGTAAAAAAAAAAATTCTTTAGTTAGTTTTCCATCAAATACAGATTTCAGATTTTGATTTTATTAAAAACTTTTGGCAATAAGCAATTTTTTCAACTCATTATTACATGAATGTTTTAAAATTTTAATTGCTGCTCAACTACTTGTTTAAAATTATGTTGAGAAAATAAATCTTGAGATTCAAGAATTTTAATTATTTATTTCATTTACTAAATGCCCTTTATATCCATTTAATAAACTGTATTGAAAACATTTTTAATTAGTTTTTCATTAAATAGAGACCTCAAATTTTGATTTTATTAAGAACTTTTGGCAGGAAGTAATTTTTTTCATCTAATTATTACAGGAATGTTTTAAAACTCACAAACTTTATTAACGAAAACATGAAAATTTATGATTTGCCCCATCTCTATGTTTTAAATTTCTTTTGAAGAGAAGCCAATGTAAAACATAAACAATTGGAATAGTATTTGATTTACAGCATCAAATAGGCAACAAAATATGAAATATGCATTTTTATAACTATTCTATAATTTAATTACTATTAATTTTGAAGGATGCCCATTAATGGCTGAATGATTCAAATAAATGAACATTCACAGTTTGAATCCCCAAAAAAGGGCTGGCTACATGATGGTGATCATGGTTTTTCCCCATGCCTAGGCTAATGTAAATATGAGCCTGAATTCGCAGAGAAAGCAATAACGCTTTATTAATGTCGGCTATTAAAAATAACAGATGCTGCAGTTACTCTCAGGCCTTGACTAGCAATATGACTGCTTGCATACATAAAAAATTGGTTCCAGATTTTTCGATCGCACCTAAAGGAAATATTCAGCTTTCTGACAAATTTCGCTGCTTCTGACCTTTATCTGATGTCTTTTAGACTTAAGAACATCTGATCACCTTCAAAGTATTTATATTTAACTAAGATATGTATATACATAAAACTGATCATGTTTCATTTTATGATTTGCCTGCTTTGCATACATTCAATACCATATAGTTATCAACAATAACTATAATCAATGGAATTCCAATCAGTTTTGCACAGTTAGTCATAGTTTTACAATCATCTTTTAATTCTGAATATGAATAATGAATTTAATGGTATAAATGCTTAGAAAAGCTTTAAATTAGACATATTACAATTACTGCTAACAAATATCTTATAAATAATAAATTAAAGGTAAATAGTACATCTATTATTAAAACTCTCAGTTTTTAAGAGTGATATATACAAAATGACTTTTACAATTCAAAATAAAAAAATTAAGTTGGTAATGTGATCTTATGAGTGCATATAGTTGGGGGGGTTGAGGATTTCCTGACGGCTAAGAATATTTGGGAAATTTTTACACTTAGCAAGACAGTGTGTATCTGGTAGTTGAACTGACAAATGTCATTTTCTGTTAATTTTATAAAAATACTAAAAGAACTGAAAAAATTATGTAGACTCAGAATTACTGATAACATGCTCATTGAATGTAAATACATGGTCTCTCAAAACCTTAATGCATATTACACTCAAATTCCAAAGTAAATTCATAGCGTTTAAAAATTTTCTCACCAGTTGGATCAATAATGCAATGGATCTTTTACAACTGTTTTTCCCTCTGTTACTTAATTAAGAACTTTTAATATTTAATTCAAAATATATACAAATTAATTATGTTGTTCATTTTTAAGAACCATGAAAAATATTTTAAAAATAAGTCAATTTAATAAATATAATAAAGATACTTACATATATTTGCAAATTTTCCCTTTAAGAAATCTTGGCAATCTTGGTAGTCAGCAATACTTGTCAACAATCCATACTATTACAACAAAAGCAATAAAATTAACATCATTATGATTTATCTTCTAGCACAAAACACAAATCTATTTAGATTGTCAGTTATACACCATGTTTCAAAAAGAATATACATATTACAAAGTGTTATTTTGTCCAAACTATCGATCACTGTGCCTCGGCTCGACTATTGGTGAAACGAATACATAGTCTAGTTTATATTAATAGCCACTAGATGTCAGTTGTCTTATGTTTTGCGTAGTAACCATCACACGTTTAAAATGGCTACTCCGCAGCAGAAATCATTTTGTGTTCTCGAGTTTGCAAAGTGCAATTCTGTGATTACGGTGCAAAGACGTTTCAGATGACAAACGTACACGTATGGCATTTTGTAACGTGATGATTGATGTTATTGATAACACTTTTGCATAACGTATCATGTTCAGTGATGAAGCAACTTTTCGTATTAGTGGTCAAGTAAACAAACACGATGTTCGAATTTGGGAGCTACAGAACCCATATGCAGCCACTGGACATGTACGAGATTCGCTCAAAATCAATGTGTTTGTGCAATATCCCGATCATCAGTTTACAGCTCATTCTTTGATGGAAACACGGTTAATGGTCAGCAGTATCTTGCTATGTTACAAAACTGGTTGTTTCCGAGGCTGCATGAAGACAACTTCATTTTTCAACAAGACGGTGTCGGCAAGTGCATGATTATCTGAATGAAATTCTACTGAACCGTTGGATTGGTTGTCAAGAAGCTGCCGACTTAGCATGTCTCAGCTGGCCTCCACGGTAACTGGATTTGACACCCTGTGACTTCTTCCTGTGGGATTTCATTAAAGACAACGTTTATGTACCACCACTCCCATAGAAGTTGTAAGAGGTGAAAAACTAGATTTGTACTGTCATAACATCAGTGACAACGGACATGCTTGCCTGAGTATGGGAGGAATTTGAGTATCGATGTGATATTGTCGTGTCGCTGATGGAGGACATATTGAACATCTGTAATCTGAACTTGAGAGCTTTGTACATATGTGTGTAAAGTTTCATATTCGTATGTCATACAGTTTAATAAATATATGCATTCGAAATACATATATTCATTTTAAAACACACTGTATTACATGTGCTGAAACACAGCAATAAACTAAGCTATGAAGATTTTAACACAAGGTATCCCCATACTTGTGACAGAGAGGCAAGGAAAAGATGCATGTATTATGTTTTGAAATGCAAGCCAGTTGTCATCAATCTATATCATGGCCAAAATACAGCAGCTCAAACATACCTAATACAATTTACCCACACAAACGCGAAAATTAAATTGAGTTAACCACTTATCTTGAAACGACGTCGAATATTTTATTTTTTATTTTTGGTGGCACTTGTTCACTTTCAGAATGAGAATCTTTTTTTTCACTAGACATTGTTATGAAAGCATTTAAACAATTTCCAAATATGCACTTGTTTGTGGATAGCTAGCTAATTGCAGACTAAATGAAAGAATGAATTGAAAATGAGAGGGTGAGGGGAGATGAGGGCACGTGCGCTCGATATGCCGCCATGAAACTACTACTCATCCCTTAAGGCGCTTACTCACCGCAGATCGCTGCTGCAAAAAATATGTATTGACATATACGTTCTTTGGCTGCTGTGCACAGTCATGTTATTTTCAATGCTCTCAACCATTTTGTCCATGCGCATTGTGTCGTTATTTTCGAGAAACTTGATATTCCGGGTAATATTTATTTTAGTAATATTTATTTTAAATTCCTTCCGGGAAAAGAGAGATTTTAATTTCCACGACTCAATTCTGGGATTATCCTGGAATTCCGGTAGAGGTGGGAACCCTAACAGCGGCTAGCGCATCGCGCACCAGCACCACAGGTACGGGGTTCGAACTCCGGGTTGGGCAAGGTCACTGCAGCCTTTCATCCCTTGATTTCCATCCTTTGGGTCAATAAAATGAGTACCAGGTTTCGCTTGGAAACTAAACACTGAGGAGTCCTGTGACAAGCTGACCACTTGTTTAGGACATATGCTTACACACCCCGGGGCCCATGGTCAAGAAAGCAGATTTCAGGGCACTGCAGGTCTTGGCCCATTAGGGCTGTTTGCACACTGAGTTTAGTTTTAGTTTAGTTTACACAACAAACTCAGTGATAGCTATATAACTTATTGTTATAGCTATACAACTTATAATGAAAACTTACAATGATAGCTACAATTACTGCAAACATATTTAATATATGTTAGCAGGGAATGGTAGCTAACACTGTTCACAGAGTATTTATCTTTGATTTTCCATGACCATGTGTTCATATTGTTGCGTGTGTACGGGTTCGTAATATATTAAATGCACATCGGTCCAATGACAGATATTTATTCGGACAATTCCATTATAGAGACCGTAAAAAAACCGCCAAATTGTTGATGCCAATGATGTCAAAAATAATTATGATAACCCAAATGCAAGAAAGGAAGCATAAAAGTAAATAACTCTCTCAGATTATTATTTTAACTTAGATGAAGGGTTAATTTCATATAATACTTTTTTATTATTATAATTTATAAAAAAGGTTAAACATAACTGAAAGCATAATAGTAATTATAACTATCCAAATTATTAATTTAATTGATGAAAAGTTAATTTCATATAATACACTTTTTATCATTTTAATTTATAAAAAAAGGCTAAGCATAAATTAAACAGAAGACAAAGACATCAAAGATAAATATTTGACAACTTCCAACATTGCAGATAAAATTTCAGTTGTTTTGTGCAAACGCTTGTACATAACCTCGGACAGATAAGAATTGAAATGCTGTCGAGCAGTGCTCTGATAGCGTTTATTATGTCATTTAGCACTGCCCCATAGCCCCTTTGTTGTTTGTGTATGACACTCAGTTCAAGGTCCACAAAATTGTAGTTGTGGTTGACAGTAAATTTTCAAAGCCAACATTTCACAGTTCATCCAACTTATATGATTTTCAGCAGTCAGTATAAATAATGCTCTTTCTGCATAATTTTTTTTTTTTTTATGAAGTTTAGTAAGGTTTTTGCTGATCTAGCTGGAACAGCGACTAAGAAACATTTGATTCTCAAAACAAACTGCCAAAAAACCATCATAGCAGAAGAACAAGGTCCAACATTATTCCTTCTTCTACTGAAAAGGCTTTTGTCTACTTCAATAATTTTGCCACATACATCGATTTTCAACCTAGACTGAGCAATTAAAGTTGCAGCACACACCTCATGCATGTAAATGTTCCAGTCTACAGTAGTACTGTGGTTCATCTTCAGTTGGATTTCACAAAATTCAACAGATGCCATCTCCTGACACCAAAAACAGATCAACCTAACGGTTGTAAGGAAGGGGATTTTTGATCCCTCTAACCAATTTTGACTTCTTAATCCTATCTTCTCACTACAGATATCTTTCCTGCACTGTCATTTCGTTATTGAGTTACAAAGCATAATTTCATCTTGTAGTTGTTCGAACATAAGTTTCTATCATGAATGATGGTTTTTCTTTGAAAAAATTATATTGTAGACTTTTCATCATTGGGAAATTTCCAAATTGTTAGATGCATAGTGTTACCAAGAACAATTAAAACAATTAAAAAACAATTAAAAAATTAAACCAGTATTTCAATGGCGACTTACAAATGCAGAACTATCTAAATTTACATCATGTGAAATGGCATATTCGCTAGATTTGGTGCACAGTTAAATGGGCATGTTTGCTACATTTGGCACTTTTGTGCATATATTTTTGCTGTAATTTTTTACGGTCCCTATAACAGAATTGCACCAATTTATTTTATTAAAAGAAATACTTTAAGAGTTCTGGAACCTTCCACAAAAATATTCGTACAGGTGTTCACAATATCACGAGTACGATTAGTAATAATGCTTCAAATTACTAAGAAAGTTAAACACAGTGCAATGTTAAGTGCATCTAAAGAGTGAAGCTAATCCGGAGATATCTCAGTACTCCAAACTGATGCTGAACTAACAGCTACAACTCAGGAACTGATGCCCTCGTTGGTCTTATACAGTTTCTCTTAGCTGCTGAGTGATTTCTAGTACTTTCTGCTTTTCAAAATTACTAGAAGGCATATGAAGGTCGAATATGGTTACAGTTGCATATATAGAGTAACTACAGTTAAGATACGTTCCCACTGGTCCATTGGAGTGAAAAGTGTCAAAGCAGAAAAAAACACTTTCTGCATACATCAATTCACACCAGCACGGAAATTTCCACGCCGAAAGTTGTCGTAAATGCATGATAAATGGCTCTTTGTATCGGAAAACTTGGAGGAAAACATACTTCCTGCTTTTTGTTCCCACCTAAAACTTCCCGGCATTGAGTTTCATTCGTGTCTGAATTTTCTGCACTGTGCCATTTTGGCTTCTTACCACTGTATTTTAAATTAAAATTGATCCTATTTCAGCTAAATTAAAACTAATTTTACTTCTTGCATCACAAACAAGGAGAAACAGAAGCTGGCTATCTCAACCAACATTTGAGACTTCACTGCAGCAAGGGGATGCAGAAAATTCAATTGAAGAGATGCAGTTGAATGACATTGAAAGTTCTTTTAATTATTTTCGCATGACACCTCATCAGTATGATGAATTGTTAGCCCTGGTTGGACCATCTATATAATAGGAAAACAAGAGTTATCTTCAAAGTATCCAAGAAAAGGATCGTTTGGCTGTAACATTAAGGTATGTATAGATCTAACTTATTTTATTTGTGATTTTTTTAATATTAATTAGAAATTATTAATTACATGTTTCAACCTCAGACAGTGAGTTTTTCATAGGAAACAGCACTGCTTATAAAATTTTTACATAATGCATGCGCTTCCCTTAAATTGATTTAACTAATACAGTACAAAATTTGAAATCCGGACTCGTTGGGACTTCGGCAATTCCGGATATTAGATCATAAATTTAAATCTGGTACAATGGCATGCAGAAATTATACAATTAAAAATATGAAATCACAATTTATGAAATAAAGAACAATTATGATCTAAAGGATATCAAAATTTACAAAAAAAGCTTCATACTTATTTGTTTACTTTATTAAACATTTCT